ATCATCTTCACGTTAAACTTATTTTCAACATCAATGAACCAGCTGAATGTCAATCATGAAGCCAGAAGAGGGCACTCTTAGGTTGAAGGAACATAGAGGCCGATTTGAGAAGCGCTATAATTCTGAATTTCTTTCATAATTTACAATGCTCAAAAGATGACAACAGAAAATAAAACTAAACCCACCTCTGAGTGATAGTAAACTGTTTTCATTTAGTTTTTTAAATTGAGATGTTGGTTGATTAATTCGATTTGTTTCGAAAATTAGCTTTTTTATTTTTTTAATTAAAAATTTTTTATTTCTATAAGTTTTTGAGGAGCAAGTGGTATTTAATTGCAAGAGTAAGTTCTTTAGTGGTGATTTGTGAGATTTTGGTGCACCCATCACCTGACCAGTATACATGGAACCCAATTTGATTTGTAGTCTTTTATCTCTCACACCCCTCCCACCCTTTCCCCTGAACCCCCAAAGTCCATTGCATCATTCCGATGTCTTTGCGTCCTCATAGCTTAGATCCCACTTATGAGTGAGAACATACAATGTTTGGTTTTCCGTTCCTGAGTTACTTCACTTAGAATAATAGTCTCCAGTTCTGTCCAGGTTGCTGCAAATTCAATTAATTCATTTGTTTTTATGGCTGAGTAGTATTCCATCATATATATATACTAAACCCACCTCCGAGTGATAGTAAACTGTTTTCATTTAGTTTTTAAAATTGAGAAATTGTTTGATTAATTTGATTTCTTTTGAAAATTAGCTTCTCTTTTTTGTAATTAAAAAAAATTATTTATATAGGTTTTTGGGGAACAAGTGGTATTTAATTACACGAGTAATTATATATCTATATAATTATATATTATATATATAATTACTCATGTAATTATATCTATATAATATATATATAGACACATATATATATATATCACAATTTTGTTATAGATTCATTGTGTGATGGCATTTGGGCTGGTTCCATAGTTTTGCAATTGTGAACTGTGCTGCTATAAACATGCATGTGCAAGTATCTTTTTCATATAATGACTTTTCCTCTGAGTAGATATGTAGTAATGGGATTGCTGGATCAAATTGTAGTTCTACTATTAGTTCTTTCAGGAAACTTCAGACTGTTTTTCATAATGTTTATACTAGTTTACATTCCCTCCAGCAGTGTAGAAGTGTTCCTTTTTCATGGCATCCAAACCAAAATCTATTTTCTTAAATTTTTTGATTATAGCAATTTCTGCAGGAGTAAGGTGGTATTGTATTGCGGTTTTGATTTGCATTTCCCTGATCATCAGTGATGTTGAACAGTTTTGTATATGTTTGTTGGCCATTTGTATATCTCCTTTTGAGAATTGTCCTTAGCCCACTTTTTGATGGGATTGTTATTTTTTCTTACTGATTTGTTTGAGTTCATTGTAGATTCTGGATATTAGTCCATTGTTGAGTGTATAGACTGTGAAGACTGTCTCCCACTCTAAGATGTCTGTTTACTCTGCTCACTCTTCCTTTTGCTGTGCAGAGGCTTTGTAGTTTAATTAAGTTCTACCTATGTATCTTTGTTTTTGTCGCATTTGCTTTTGGGTGAAAATGAAATGAATTCTTTGCTTAAGCCAATGTATAGAAGGGTTTTATCAATATTGTCTTTTAGAATTTTTATAGTTTCAGGTCTTAGATTTAAGTCCTTGATCCATCTTGAATGGATTTTTATATAACTTAAGAGATGAGAGCAGTTTCATTTTCCTACATGTGATTTGCCAATTATCCCAGCACCATTTGTTGAACAGGTTGTCCTTTTCACAGTTTGTGCTTTTGTTTGCTTTGTTGAAGACCAGTTGGTGTAAGTATTTGGGTTTATTCTGGATTCTTTATTCTGTTCCATTGATCTATGTGCCAATTTTTATACCGGTACCAAGCTGTTTTGGTGACCGTGGCATTATAGTATAGTTCTAAGTCAGTTAATGTGATGCCTTGGGATTTGTATTTTTTATTTAGTCTTGCTTTAGCTATGAAATTACCATTTAAATCTTGCTGCTTATTACTGGTCTTTTCAGGATTTCTAATTCTTCCTGATTTAAGCTTGGAGGGTTGTATATTTCTGGAAATTTGCCACCTCCTGTAGGTATTCTAGTTTGTGCGTGTAAGTGTTTTCTAGTTCCATATAAATTTTAGGATTTTTTTTTCTAGTTCTATGAAGAATGTTGATGTTATTTGGATGGGAATTGCATTGAATTTGAACTTGCTTTTGGCAGTATGGTTATTTTCACAATGTTAATTTTACCCATCTATGAGCCAAGGATGTGTTTCCACTTATTTGTGTCATCTATGATTACTTTCAGCAGTGTTTTGTAGTTTTCCTTGTAAAGGTCTTTCCTTGGTTAGGTATATTTCTAAGTATTTTATTTATTTATGTATTTATTTATTTATTTTGCAGCCACAGTGAAGAGGGTTGAGTTCTCGATTTGGTCCTCAGTTTGGTTGCTGTTGGTGTATAGCAGAGCTACTAATTTATGTACATTAATCTTGTACCCCGAAACTTCG